CTAGTGTACACTCCCACCAGCAGTGTAGAAGTGTTCCCTTTATGCCACATTCTCTCCAGCATCTGTTGTTTTTTGAGTTATTGATGATGGCCATCCTGACTGGAGTTAGGTAGTATCTCAGTATGGTTTTAATTTGCATTTCTTTGATGGCTAGTGAGGCTGAGCATTTTTTCATGTATCTGTTGGCTGCTCGTATGTCTTCTTAAACATGGAAACAACCATGCTGCCCATGGAAAGAGGACTGGATTAAAAAAACATGGTACACCATGGAATATTACACAGCCATAAAGAAGGACAAAATCATGAACTTTGCAAGAACTTGGATGGACTTGGAGTCATAATACTGAGGGATCTATCACAGAAACAAATAACCTAGTATCACATGTTCTCACTTGTAAATGGACCTTGAACAATTATCGTAATAATATAAGAAAGGGATTGGCAGTAGTGGGAAATTCCAGGGGAGGGGGGACACACCCCATCAACAAGGCTACCTGCATAATGAACATTTGTATACCTAACCCTAAAATGTACCCCACATATTTAAATTTTTTTAATTGCACACAAATCAAAGAATATGAGATACATTAATCCTCAACAGATGGCCATTAATAGTAATAATAATTTTTTAAAATACATAGAACTTTGTAGTAAAAAAGAAACACTGGATCTTACCCTATTCTTTCCTCTAATTTTGTTTTTAAGCCTCTCTGAAGCTAAAATAATTGTCGATAGTCACACAACTAGTTAAGGATAGATCAGATCTCCCAATTCAATATTCTAATGGAAGAATAATTCAACCACTCACCACTTGCTTCAGCTTTGAGGTTGGATTTATGAACCACACAATCATTCTCTGAATCAGTCACAAATGCAGTCTGATTCCTGATGAGGTGACATGAAATCAGAATAGTATGTGTTTTAATAAATGTTATTTATTAGGGCTTTGGATATTTAGAACCACGAACTCTAAAGCTTACTCAATTTGTTAAGGGGGAACAAGTCAATAAGAAGATATGAGTTCCATATAGATTTCATCCACCAAATGTGTATTGCGATTTGTAGACAGCTCAGGGGAGGAAATAAACTCTGATTCAAAAAAAAGCTTCGGTAAGCAAATTATTGGGAGTAGTAGATGTGTCAACTAAGGGTTAAAATCTAGAGGAGGAGGCTGTTGTGGCCTGGAATGACATGAAAGTCCCTTATTCCAAGTGCTTATCACTTTCACTGGAAAGTTTTCAAGTCGTTATCACAAACACACAAAGGGATTTGTTTAAGGGAGAAAAAAGCCCTAAGTTTTAAATAAGAGTTAATTATTAGCATCTTGGTGTTTATATGCACACGAAGACACACATGCGTTAATTCTCACACCAAAGTTAATTCTTATTTTGCCAGAGAGGTATGTCAAAGGGAATTGGTACAAGTTTTTAAACCTAACAGACTATCTCATACTGAAAACAATAATAATAAGAAGAATAACTCAAATAAAAAAGACATTTCATGTCAAGAACTCCAGATTTTCACAATTATTGTGCTAAGTACTTAATTAGGCAACAATCCCTTTTTTTCAGGAATGTGTAAATGACTTATGACATCAAATTCAATTCTAACTCAATAAGACTTCACAACATATTTTAGTTGTCCCAATATTTGAGGAAATATAAAATATGTGTCTTTGATTTTAATGAATTGCTTCTGAAAGGAAGACACCAAAATTTCGATTACTTGGGCAAAAAGATTGGGAGAAGGCAAGAAATTAAACCTTGAATTCCTGGTCAGTGTCCTTCTTCAATGCTTTCACTACAACGTGGTAATAATATTTCCTAACTCCTCCTTCCTCACAAGAGTGTTAAAAAAAAGCTGATACAATCTATTATGAACTTGGTACTCTCAAGATTGTTTAGTTTGCTTGTCATCTACTTGCTATTCCAGTCTGCTGGATAGGTGGGATCCCTACTTTACTTTGCAGACATAGCAGATAAGTTTTTAAGTTTTATATACAGAGAGAACTATTTTGTGGGTTAGGCAGGAAGGACTATTGATACTGCTACTTTTGATCTACTTTGTAATTTTACCCTTCTTAAACTTTTTTCCCCCTAATTTTATGCAATAGTTCCTTAATACTATAAGGTTCCTTATATACTGCTGCTTCTTTTGCCTCAAATTCTCTTCCCCTCCCCCTTTACCTGTAAATTCCTCTCTTCCTTTGGTTCTTAACTCAATTATCCCTTCCTTGGCAAGGACTTTGCAGATGTTTACAAGTCCTTTTTTCCAACACCCATGTTCTCATATTCCTGTTTATATCCTCTTTCAAATACTTATCTCAACTTTCCAGAACAAGAACCAAATTCATCTCTTTTGGCCAGTAATCCTAATGCCTCACACAAAATATAATAAATATACGAGGAATGAATAAATCCCTGTAGTTGCCTGTCAGTGAAATGAAGGGGAAACACTGTTTGCTCTAATTTCCCTGGCCCAACGTTTCCAAATAGAAGACAATTATTTTATCTTAACCAAAAGAACCTAAAAGCCTATGCTATCGTATTAGAAGCAGATGAATGTGTGATAAACCCTAACTATGAGGTAAAAAACAAAAACCCCCCCTAAAAAAAACACAATGGGATTAGAAGACAGAACAAAACTGGTTCACCTTTAGTAATGAATTTGTCCCTTCTCTGCCATCTCCTGTGCTTTGATAAGCAACTAAAAAAACGTATACAGCCAGTGATACAGTTACACATGAGGAACACTTGGAAGATCTGAGCATAGAACATGTCAGCTGTCACCAAGAACTTGAGTCCTCCTCAGCTGTTGTCCTTTTTTCTCCTCACAAGTAAGTCCTGTCACATAGCACTCTATAAAGGAGGAGGGTTGGCCAAGAAAGAAATCTCACTTTGTTTCTGGTTATCATATCAAATTACTCTGGATCATAGTTTCATAACGCCTCTAAATTCTTTGTCCATGTGTAATTTCTGTGTGTAAATAATAATGCCTAAGTGACATACATATATGTTGTGTCCAGTAGGACTAACCATTTCAAAAAGACCAGTGTTATAAATCGTGAACATTAAAAAAAATTTTTTTTAAGAATGTAGGGTATAATTCAGGGTTAAGTATACAAATGGTGGTTATGCAGGCACCCCTATTGATGAGGTGCGCCCTTCCCCTCCCCTGGCAGTTTCCCACTGCTGCCCATCCCTTATTATTATGATCACTGTAACTGTCAACATGTTTAAGTATTTCTTCTTTGAAACACCTGACCAAAAAGCCAGCTATGCAAGAGCCTATCCATCTCTCAGTGATTGCAGAAGATCCCATCTGCCCTTTGATGATCCAAAGGAAAAGCTAGTGGACAAATTTCTGCTTTTTACAAAAAAGTATTTCCATTATAAACATAGAACTGAACTATGAGGTAATATCCTTAGATAAAATATGTTCAGATTCTCATGACTTTCTTGCATGTGAGAAATGAGTGTTTATAGCTAAATCTAGATAATGATTGAGTTCTTGTATTGGGCAACATGAGAGGAAGCTGATAAGTTTTCCTGAACACAAGTGGATAAAATAAAATCAGCACACAAAATAGAAGACATTAACTGTGGGTCAATAGTGACTTAGATGAATTGTTATTGATATGAGAATCTTAATCTCTCTCTTAGTTGTAACATATGGAGAAACATTGTGACTTTCTCCAAGTTGAGGAACACTCTTATTTTGGACCCACAGGAGGTGGCTAGTGAGTGTCTATCTTTAAACACAATTACAATTAACAGCTAGAATATATAATATGAATATTTACATATATTTGTATAAATGTATATGTGTGTGAATACATACTCATATATCTATAATGTATAAATATGCTTTTAAAATCCCAAACTACTGCTTTTTAACTAATTAATAACTACTCATTAATTAAACATCTCATAAGTTAATACAACAGAAAAGAAGGTGGTACTGGGCAATAACAGATGACAAGTTGTAACCCTCTCTCTGGGCAGAATTTGCCACTTCCAAGGTTATAAAGTGCCTGCTGGTTATCTTATACTCCTTAATATGAGTCTTGCTTGGCAAACTGAGGAAACCGGGGGTAGAAAAGGAAACACTTTCAAGTTACAAAAACTTGCACAGTATTAATAATCAAAGTCTTTTCTTTCTCTTTATCTCTCTAAAAAATGCATTTTGTCTCCCTACTAGAGATAAAAGATTTACATGGTAAATAATTAGACTATGTCATTTAGAAAGTAAAATGGGGAAGTAGCTACTTTTATTGAAAGCTACTTTGCTATTAGAAAAGTTGTTTTGCAAGAAAGCAGTTATTGCTGTCATTTCCATCCATTTGATATGCTTTATTAAATTATACAAGAAACTTAAATTATAGGAAGTAGTTTTTAATTTTTTTTAGCATAAGAGTTTACTACAATTAAGAAAAGAAAAGGAGGGAGAGACAGAGAGTTAGAGTGAGCACGCTCCAGCCAGATTTTGTGCTCCCTAGAAGGGAAACCACTTTAAGACTTGATGGGCTTTCCATATACGTCTGCTTTTTATTTTTAAACACCACCACCTCTTTGCTGACCAACATTTTCTTCCAAATTATGGTGAGGAGGGAGGAGCATGAGCAAAGAAGCTGGGTGAAAGTTGGTGATACTCCCTGCCAAAATTCCAAGTTGAAATAGAATCCTTCAGTAAAGTTTCTTAGGCAGGGGAAAAAAAAAAAAGATTTACAACTTCAGCAGAACTGTAATTCTACCAAGAAAAAGTACAGTAAATCTACCTTACTGTCACCAAAGGATCTGAAGCTACCTTCGTCATACTTTCTTCGCCTTTACATATGAAGGTGGGGAAAGAAAAGGGGAGGGGAGTTTAAAAAAAATTGATGAAGCCCTGACCCTTTAGATTCCATTTATAGTCTGAGCCGGAATGCCATCCCCCTTGACTAGCGAACTGTCCAATCCAGCAGCTTGTGTCAAGATTCTATTAGGCACTAAGTGAAATATATATGCATGCCCTTATACCATTTAGCACTCTGGGTCCACCTTCTAAGACACTGGGCTGTGGATCCACCTGACCACCACTCCTCTTCCAAAAAATTATTTTGACAGGTTCTTTTGGAGGAACTCTTTTTTTTTTAAATCCATCCTTTTAAACAAAATGGCACCAAAGAAGGACGTGAAGAAACCTGCTGCTGCCCCAGCCCCTGCCCCAGCACCTGCACCTGCCCCAGCCAAACCCAAAGAAGAAAAAATTGACCTCTCTTCCATTAAGGTAACTAAATGGATGAATTGCTTGGTCACTGAAACACCTTTCAATCGTAGGGAACCCTAGGAAACTTGAAAAGGGGTATAATTTTCATTGAGAGTAATGACATTGCTCAGTGAACTGGTAGATTTTGGAAGAAGAGAGTCTTGCTTGAAAAATAAACCCCAACTTATAATTTGGGAAATTATTGCAGTATGGTTTGATAGGTGGAACTTGGGATTGCTTAAATTTATTGTTCTCTGGTTTCCATTTTTCCCTAAATTGTCAAAGCACAATTTAGGAGTAAAGTATGTAAGTGTAAAGGTTGCATTTACAAGTATTTAAACAGTTTTTTAAAAAAAATAAAATATCGCTGGCAGCTGGATCCCTTACCTTACAACCACATAAAAAATAAAGTTTTAGTCCCTACTTGTTTCCACAAGTTTAAAAACAGCTGATTGCCCAGTTGTACTAGATGCATTTGACAGCTGCTTTGTTTCATCTGAAAAAGATTTTTGCAATACAAGTTAAATCCCCCTTCAACTTTGCTCAATAAAATTTGATACAACACTAAATGAGATCTCAGTGCAGAAAATTATGCACTCAAGTGTTTCAGTGACTAACCATCATCTTGTTTATTTACATACAGTATTTAATTCAGAATTTGTGAAATGCTTCTAAATGAAACTCCAAAAATTGTAAAACGTGTTTATATGGCTTTTAGCTTAAGTCTTTGAGCTTTTGTGTACTGATCTTGAACTAAGGAGAATGTGATTGATTTTTGTGACAACACTTTGTTGTGATCAGAGTTCTTAACTGTCAAAAGATTATCTGCTTTTGGGAAAATGATGTAATGTATGTGCCTGTTACCACTGAGTAATGTGACCCATTAAATGTGCCCCTTCTTTTCATTTACTGAACTCTGATTGGGCCAAATGACAATTAGAACATTTTCATCTAAGAAACCCTGCCTTTTACGGAAAACTAATGGGTGAAAGTCCCCATGAGGTGATCTTTTTTACTTCAGCCAAATATTCTATACGTAATAAACCTTAATTTTGTCAACTTAATGTTTACTTTCAGCTTTAATGCTGACCCATAATAAACATTCTATTTACTGTTTTAGTATAATTATAGACTTTTAAATAAATACCTGTAATAAAGGTTGAATTAGATCTTCTGTAGATATATGTGAGGAAATTAAATAGATGCCCTCATAATTTCTATAGCATTACAGTAAAATGTGAAATTTTATTTTTAAAGTAGAAGTAGGTTATCACAAATTATTTAATCTTTAGTTTACAGGTAGCTGAAGTCACATTTGAAAAAAGCTGGTGACAGAATCTAATACTGATTAAGAACTATTCTTAATGAACATCAATTTAGGATGGAAATGCATGTCAGATCTTCTAAGGAATATTTTTCCATCCTTAGGACTACACGCATATGGTCCATTAAGAGAAAACCAGACTTTTTACCTCCAGTAATCCTAGTTCATGTGTCTTTATAGATGCACACTGACCACATTCTACAGTCAGTGAATGCACAGTCACAGAAGTAATTCTGATTGTTCTTCTTCTTTAACTCTTCACTCTATAGTTATTTTAGAGACATGAATGTGTCAAAGATATTTCTCTTTATATTTATTGCGATTAATTTTAATATCATCTCTTCATATCTGGTATTATAAGCTTCTGGAAAGGAAAAAAAGATGGACCTTTTTTTAACTTAAGAAGAAAAAGTATCCCAATAATGAAAACAGGCAATTTTCCTTCCCAAAGAACTACATAACAATAAGTACATAAATAAAAATGTAGTTTGGCATGTGAGAAATAGGCAAGAAAAAACAAAACAGTACTTTGTAATCCAGAAATTAAGCCAATTACATGTTCATAGCAGAGAAGTGACTCTTTCCAGAATCTTGAAAATGTGTTTATTTTTCTATCTATTTGTTGAATTGATGTTACTATGAGCTGGGACAACTAAGAAAAGAAAGAAATATATCTGGAGAGTTTCTATAAAGATGGAGTATGCTCCATCCTAATTATTTCATTGCAAGACAAGAGATGGAAGGGATTCTAATAAGGGACACAAATCAAAAAGAAGTTAAATGAATCTTGAAGAAACAGGAAGAAATCAATATTTATCTTCCATTTAAGGGGTACAATTCTTTTTTTTTTTTTTTTTGAGTTGGAGTCTCACTGTGTCACCCAAACTGGAGTGCAGTGGCCACTCCTGGCCACCGCAGCCTTGACCTGCTGGGCTCCGGCGATCCTTCCGCCTCAGCCTTCCGAGGAGCCGGAATCACAGGCGCGCGCTACCACGCCCGGCTGATTTTTTGATTTATTGTAGAGATGAGGTCTCGCTGCCCAGGCGGGTCTAGAACCCGCGGGCTCAGGCAATCCACTCACCTCAGCCTCCCCAAGGCGCGGGATTACAGGCTGAGCCACCAAGCCCGGCTAAGGGGTACAGTTCTAACAGAGAGAGAAAAAAGATAAGAATTGAATCTAACATAATTTTGTAAAGGAATTGAAATGTCTTCATTTATTATTTTGTGCAATGAATACTTTGCATTAATTAATATGAAATAAATGTGTATTTAGAAATACTCTAGATTGCCAAAGAATGTGATGCAACTTGAGAATTTTATAACTTTATTTCAATAGATAACAGGCTTAATTAAAATGTACATTAAAACGTTTCCTATCATGATGCTTTTAATCACTTGATAATGTTTCTAGATATATTATCTCATCAAATGTATAAACTTTTCTCAAGCAAAGAAAATGACCTTTAAAGAAATTAATAGAGCCGTTATATGTGTTCATTAACTTTCTGAAAACTCGATAAAGAACAAAGCTTAATTGGATTATAAGCTTTCTTTCATAAATCATTTAAGATCACAAATCTTGCAATACTTTAGACTTTTAGTAATGCTGTAGTTTAACTGTCTTTGTGTAGTGCTAGTCATAGTAATAGTAAATTTTAATTTCTCGATTCTATTTACAGCTAATACCTTCATTCCATCTTACAATATACACACTGAATAGTCTTATATTTGACTCTTCATAAACCCTGAACAATCTTGAATATTATTTTTTTATCCGCTGCTCAAACGTGCTTTCCAATCTGATATCCTGGTTTGTTGGTAGTTTGTTTACAACATTTCTTCAGTTATTATGACATAAAACCTTTGACACTACCGGAGGGAATTCTTCCCCATTCAATCCATTCAATCCCCATGGATTTTCTCAGTACCACTTTCAAAAACAAAGTCCTGCTGATAGTTGAACATTAAAGTTACCGTCCTTGGTGGTTAACAACAATGCCCAGACTAAAAGAACACTGCCTCACAGAATTACAATTATAGAAATCAAAATTCACTACAAGTATGGTTGTAGGTGAAAACATAAGAATGAATGCTAGTTGCCCAAAATTGCAAGCAGGTAAAATAAGGAAAGTCAATAAGAAATGAGATAGCCACATGCGTAGATTTTACAAGTTCTTTAATGTGTACATGAATTTTCTGCATGATGCATGGATTGGCTGATATGTCAGGATTGCTGTGGTGTGATGGCACTGTGCTGCTGAAATTTCCCTTTTCATTGTACTCACCACTCGGTCTGGTCATCACTGACTAGATCCTGTGGGCAATATTACAAAAAGTGGTAAAAGTACAGAATGCATTGACAGAAACTCTATCAAATATGTTAAGCTTTTGGAAAAGTTTTAGGTTAAACCTACTATTGTGAAATTAACTTTAATGTACTTGTAGCTTCCTTATATCTGGAATGTGGCATTAGCTTACTTTATTTTTTGAGCTGGAGTCTCACTCCATCGCCCAGGTTGGAGTGCAGTGGCATCCTCACGGCCGTCGCAACCTCGGCCTGCTGGACTCAGGGGACCCTTCTGCCTCAACCTTCCAAGTAGCTGAAACCACAGGCGCAGGCTACCACGCTCGGCCAATTTTATGATTTATTGTAGAGATGAGGGCTCACCTAGTTGTCCGGGCTGGTCTCGAGCCCCTGGACCCAGGCGATCCTCTTGCTTGGGTCTCCCAAAGTGCTGGGATTACAGGCATGAGTCACCACGCCCGGCCAGCTTTTTATTTTTAACCCTCTTTAATTCTTATTCAACTCATTGGCTTAAGGTTTGAGAGCTAAATACTGGGATATTTTTGATAAGATTGACGCTTTTGTTTGCATAACTATAACTGGTACTATACAGAGAAAGGATGTGGCTACCTTTTGTTAAATCTGCACTTGCCAAATATCAAAAAAGAGAAATGTAGTATAAATCAAATTTTTGTATAATCTGTTTGCAACATGAGTTTTATTTGCTTAATATTAGGTCTTTGCCCCTTTTCTAGAAGTCTCTTGGGATCCTGCATAGAAACTGCTTTCATTAAACACCAAACAATTAAGTCCATTCTCTGACAGTAGGCACAAATTTGGTTTCATATTCTACTTGACAACTTAAATAACCTGAAATATTTCTAGATGGTCCACTTCTGCTTATATAAAAACAAAACCTGATTTAAAGAGAAAAACAAAAACAAAAACAAAACCTCTCACAGAAACAATTGACCACATGCTTGGGAAGATTTAAACTCTCAATTTAGTGCCCCCAAATACATATATTTACTGATGAGACTGAGTTCAGGGGAGGCAAATAGCTGTATGTGTAATGACAATCACATTGTTTTGGCCCAGCTATAGGACTGTTTGTGTTCATCTATCAACTATTTTCTTCTCATTTCTAACAAGGCTAAGATAAACCCAGTCCCACTTAGAAGAATTTCTGAGAAAATCAAGTGAAGTTATGTTCCAGAAAATACTCTGAAAACTGTGAAGTTCTTTGTAATAATAGCAAAAATTATTCCTTGTGAATTTACTCTGTTTGGGGTTATCTTCTTTGATCCTCACAACACTACACCAATGTTGTTGCCTCATTTTGAAAGTAAAGAAACTGGGCCTAAGAGAGGTCAAGTGTTGTGCATACCATCGATTAACTAGTTCCAGGATACA